AAGACTTCCCGAGAGTAATTTCAACTGTCGCCTGTTAGCTGGGGCTGAATATAGTAAAATTATTATTATTTGTTTTTTGGCTGCATTGGGTCTTTGTCGCTGCACACGGGCTTTCCCTACTTGCGGCAAGCGGGGGCCACTCTTCGCTGCGGCGCGCGGGCCCCTCACCACGGCGGCCTCTCCTGTTGCAGAGCACAGGCTCCAGGCCTGCAGGCTTCAGCAGTTGTGGCACACGGGCCCAGTAGTTGTGGTGCACAGGTTCTAGAGCTCAGGCTCAGTAGTTGTGGCACACGGGCTCAGTCACGCTGCGGCATGTGGGATCCTCCTGGACCAGGGCTCGAACCCGTGTCCCCCTCACCGGCTGGCAGATTCCCAACCACTGTGCTACCAGGGAAGTCCCCGAATACAGTAAAATTTATTTCAGAATAGCTTTTCAGACAATTTACTGATGATACTCCAGAATAAAAAAGGAAACCATCTCAGTCAGAAATTCAATACATCTGTACAATTATACACTTCTTTGGTCCTAAATTGAAAGTCAGCAGTTCATCTAGATCTGGGTGCCAGTTACATGCTTGTGTTCAGTTGGAGACGGTGTGAGCTCTTCACTTATGATATGTACTTTTCTGTATGTGTATTACACTTAAATAAAAAAATCTTAATCAGTGTTTCAGTCCCACACCTTACTGTGAACTACTTTGACTAATCTTTCCCTTTTCTCAGGGAGTTAACATGAAACTTTTTCCTCCAGTCACTGCCTCCAGCCCATCCAGTAGTTAAGATGTCCCTTAACCTCATCTTACCAATTTTCACATTTTACAGACACTAAATAAATACTCAGTTCATTTATGCTTTAATCACATGTCCATTTACAGCCCATTTCCCTCCTTCCTCAGAGTTTAATATTGATAGATTATGGTTTAAGGGACCAGGGAGTGGGGAAAGGGCCCTCTAGGTAGCAGACACCCCTCTCATGACAAGTTGCTTGTGTAAGGGATCCGGCTCTAGCCTACCCTTCCAGCCCCATCCCAACTCCTACCACCCCATACACAACAACAAGGGCCATCTTGGTGGGATGCTAGCCCAAAAGCTCAGGTCTTCTGCAACTTCTCCTGAACCACAGAAAGTCACAACTTCCCTGTGTGTCAACTGGTGGGATCAGACAGCTCCAGCCACCCTCCACCCTCGTCCCTCCCTGCCCCACATCTTCTCTCAATTTCTCTTTCATCTCTACTCAGTCAAGGACAGAGAGCAAGTCTGCTGCCTAACAATGGGCTCAACCTTGCCTTCCTTCTTGGAAGCCCCCTCAACCTATACAAATGCTTCTCATGGAAGACACTTCCAGACTTGCTTGGCTTGACAGCGGAAGCAGCATTGCGCCCCACTGTGCTCCACTAAGAGGGGAGGGAATCACTTCAAATGCTGCCCTCCCTAAGCAGTCTTCTTACATAGACCAGGGAAAGGCTGAGATGATGTTTGTGGTAGTAGGGACAGCTCTGTGACCTCTTCCTATCTGTGAAGCCAGTGAGGTGTACCTGGCTCCAACTCTTGGGGACTGTCATTGTACCACAGGTCATTTAACAACACCTCTTCAATTTCAGCTTTGGACCCCAATGCTAATTCTGAAGCGACAGTAGAAAAAAAAAAAAAATCTACTCAACATCCAGTTACAATGAAATGGCTTTCTCTTCTTCAAGGCACGTTTCAAATGCTGCTTCATCCAAAAGTGTTTCCTAGTTCCCTAACCAGTACAGTCTCTCCTTCCTTTGACCCTGCCACAGCACTTTCCCAATAATACCTTATCAACTGAGCGTGTAGTTCTGATACTACTCTCACTGCATACTATATGTAATGAAATTTTGTCACAGCTAACACACAACCTTGCAAATGACAATGCAAACATTTGCTCAAATGAAAAAAATAAATGGTACATAACTATTGCAAAGTTAGGTATACCTATACGAAACAAGGTGTGCAATTAAAATTAAATTCGCCTATGCAAAATTCAAACAGCAATGTGAAACACTGTGCCAACATACACCATTTTTAACAAGTTGTTTTTATTATAAAACATGTTTGGGGACTGCCCTGGTGGCGCAGTGGTTAAGAATCTGCCTGCCAATGCAGGGGACACGGATTTGAGCCCTGGTCCGGGAAGATCCCACATGCCGTGGAGCAACTAAGCCCATGAGCCACAACTACTGAAGCCCATGCACCTACAACCTGTGCTCCGCAATAACAGAAGCCACCGCAATGAGAAGGCCACGCACCACAATGAAGAGTAGACCCCGCTTGCCACAACTAGAGAGAAAGCCCACGTGCAGCAACAAGGACCCAATACAGCCAAAAAATATAAATTAATTAATTAATTTATTTTTTAAAAACCCATGTCTGTCACAGAAGAACCAGTAGGGGAAAGCACACAGAAAACAAATTACCCATTACACCTTCACTGCTACATTTATGTCTTGTCATTCCAGTCTTTTTCTATACATATATACATACCTGAGACCATACTGTTTTGCACTTTGCTTTTTCACTTCAGGTACTGTGATTATCTATATCATTAAGTAGTCTTCTACAAACATCATATCAATAACTGCAGAGCATTCCACTGCATGGTTACTTCAGCTTTTGTTGTCATCAAATTGTCCCTAGTTATAATACTGTGATAACCAATCTTGTTCTTAGGTTTGTTTTTGTTTTTTTGCAGTACGCGGGCCTCTCCCTGTTGTGGCCTCTCCTGTTGCGGAGCACAGGCTCCAAACGCGCAGGCTCAGGGGCCATGGCTCACAGGCCCAGCCGCTCCGCGGCATGTGGGATCTTCCCGGACCGGGGCACGAACCCGCGTCCCCTGCATCAGCAGGCAGACTCTCAACCACTGCGCCACCAGCCCGCGTCCCCTGCATCAGCAGGCAGACTCTCAACCACTGCGCCACCAGGGAAGCCCTTGTTCTTAGGTTTTTATCATTCTGATTATCTCCTCAGGTAATAGGATTACTTCTGACCAGAAGCTGCAAATTCACGTTGAAGTTCCTCATGGAAAATACATGCCCAAGTTTACTTGCTCATTAACCACAAGGTGGGTTTTCCTGCTGGGGAAACCTGGGAAAGCTGCTCTCTGCTCTAAGCCAGGCAGCCCTGCCTCACCACTCAAGACCAAGAGCCCACAGCCCTGCACTAACATCTCAGGTGGGGACAAGGAGAGAGCTGACCATACCGTGGGGGCTAGATATGTGCGAAGGACAGCCCAAGAACACCTTGACCAGAACCTCTCCTACAATCCCCTTGAGGTCCCTTCAAACTGCAGTACTGCTTTCCTTATTGAGCCCCCCAGGAGGACTCTGTGAGGCATTTGGGGAGGTACCATTCTGCCCTACGGCTGGAAAAACTATCTACTTTATCTCACTGCCCAAGGGCAACCTTACAAGCCAGGTTTCCCTATTTCTTCAAGGTACTCTTCTTGAACCCGTGCCCTGAGAAGACCCTGAAGAGGCCAAGAAGTCTGTACCTTGTAGTCTGGCCAGTCAGTGACCTGGGCAGAGTGGGATGGTAACACTTTCACCAGCACCTGGCATCTTGCCAGCGAGGCCACCGGGCGCCCTGGCCAACTGCAAACGTACACTCCTCAAAGCTCCTGTCTCACTGACCAGGAGCCTTCCCCTCACACAAGTCAACAACCTAGCATTAGCTGAAAAATACTTTGCTATAAACCATAAAAGTTCCAGCATGTCTGAAGCAACCCAGTGAAATTTAAGTCATTGTTGAGTGTCATTCTTATTGGAATATAACTCATGCAACTTTCTGAAAAGGAAAAAACAACGCATACATAGCAAGCAGGTTCTCTGAATTTTTAACTCAGCATAAGCTAAAGAATAAGGGTTAGCTCACAGCTGACTCCAAATAACAGAAAACATCACATGTATACTCTTTTGGAAGTTAGAAGAGACAAGATCCACCGGTGTCTCCCAGCCCCCATGCTCTTCTCTCATTTCCCTTCCAGCACAATTTAATAAATAAATTCCATGGGGCCATCTCCTTCCTAATGGACTTCTCCCTTAAACATTTAGCTACTTTATGTTCACATGCTCCTATATCTTTGTGGGAATTATTTCCAAGGCCAAGTTAAAAATAAATCAAAGAATTTGTAACTAAAAAACAGCAATTACCAGTCCTTGTTCTGAGAATCTGTTTTACCAAATATTTTCAAGGTCCGTTTACAAAATTAAAAACACGTTCACTTTCATCTAAAATAATTCAAACAAAAAATATTCCATCAACATTCCTATAATATGTTGCAACTCCCACAAAAAGATTATGAAACACTGTTAGGACACCCAAGCCTCCTTGTGAAGAATCATCTTCAGGAGATGCTCCCCTCTCCCCCACTATTCTGTGGAATATACTAAATACCATAAAAATCAAATGCTTGTTGACTTGCACTCATTTTGAAAGAAATTAAAACACTGAAGAGCTGCACCATCCCATACAGTAGCCACTAGTCACATGTGGCTACTGAGCACTTGAAGCTAATTCAAATTGAGCTGTGCTGTAAATGTAAAATATACACTGGATTTTGAAGTCTTAGTACTAACAAAAGAATATCTCATTAAAAGTTTTTTATGTTGATTACATGTTGACACGATATTTTGACTACGCTGGGTTAGATCAAGTATTACACTTTTTTAAACTTTCCTAATGCAGCTATTAGAAAATCTATCTTAACATATGTGACTCTACTGTAATTGTATATATAAACAGCCCTGTCACTTTGAACTATCCTTTTTCACCTAATCGTCTTGTGAATCATAAAAAAGATTTCTGTATTATAATCGAAGGAAGTCTTCACCCCAAAGGGGACCCAATCCACAAGGCAAACTACAAAAGGGGCAAGTGTTGTCAGAGATTCAAGGTCATTCTTCATAGGTGTGACCAGGAAGCTGCCTAGAAACAGCTGTGTACACATGCCTAGCACATCCAAGTTTTCAAATCTAAGTCACCTGGCAAATGATCATGGATTCCTCGATTTACAGGTGTAGTGCAGACTCTACTGAAATCCAGAGAATTATCCAATATGGCATTTATCCTTCGAAAGATATTGGCATTGCTACACGTGGAGAGCGCAGGTGCTTCCTGATTGTCCCAGCAATCTTTTATCCTTCCTGCGTCTTCCTCCTAGACGCAGAAAAAAGATGTTTAGATTTTCTACTCTCCCTTTTTCTTTTTTTTTTTTTTTTTTTTGGGGTCCCCGGCCCCCCCATTTTTTGCCTCTCCCCTTGCGGAGCACAGGCTCTGGACGCGCAGGCT